CATAAGCCAATCCTCCTTTTTCATCCAAGCAGCTCTTCCACCCAAACCAGCATTCTTTTGCTTTTCATGTCTTCTCGACGCTCATTTACCATGCCAATTAATTAATCCCTTTTATCCTGTAGGTTGGCACGTCCCCCTCTGTCTTGCCTTGCTCTCCTTTCTATATATGCCAGGAATCTTTGATGCTAACGTGTCTTCTTGTGATTCCAGCATACTTATCCTTTGACACCCTTTCTTCTGTGGATAAGCCATGTCCTCTCCACCCCCAAACCTCCGACAGCGAGGGGGGAAGAAAAATGTCGCCGTTAAAGATCCACAAACAATTTCTCCCCCACTCAAATTGAGCCCACATAAGAAGGCCGTTGCAAAACCCGCCGGACAGTGGGATTATAAGGCCGCTTTGGTGATCTTGACGCTGTTAGCGTTCGCAACACGTTTTGCCAGTATAAGCTACCCTGACGAAGTTGTGTTTGATGAGGTCCATTTCGGGAAGGTCAGTTGGTGTTTTCAATTACACTTTCATGTGTGGCAGACACCGCAGAAGAATGCCGCTATAAGCTCAATTGGGTAGAAATGAGACCAAATAGCTGATATATCTTGTTTTGAAACTAAATAAGTTTGCTTCGCATTACCTTCGACGCACCTATTTCTTCGATGTTCACCCACCGTTTGGCAAGCTTCTCCTTGCTTTTATGGGTTGGCTTGTGGGATTCGACGGCCACTTTCTTTTCGAGAATATTGGAGATTCATACATCGAAAACAGAGTCCCGTATGTTGCCCTCCGGGCCATGCCCGCGATCCAAGGCGCTTTGACGATCCCTGTGATCTTCCTAATTATGTGGGAGTCTGGCTACTCCCTCCCAGCCTGTATCCTCTCTGCGGGACTGGCTCTGTTCGACAATGCGCACGTTGCTGAAGATAGACTGATCCTTCTCGACGCAACCCTGGTGCTCACCATGGCACTGAGCATCCTTTGTTACGTTCGGTTTTACAAATTCAGACACGAGCCATTTAGTCGCAAGTGGTGGAAATGGCTGCTTTTGACTGGTGTCTCGCTGAGTTGTGTTATTTCAACTAAATACGTGGGCACGTTTACGTTTGTCACTGTTGGCGCCGCCGTTGCCATCGATTTGTGGGATCTTCTTGATGTGAATCGCCCTGGAGGCGTTATTCCCCTAACTCAATTCGCCAAGCATTTCGCTGCTCGAGCTCTCGCCTTGATTGTCGTGCCATTTTTCTTTTATTTGTTCTGGTTCCAGGTTCACTTTGCTATTCTCAACAAGTCAGGTCCAGGCGACGCCTTTATGTCCCCGGAATTTCAGCAAACTCTCAGTGATAATCCGATGAACGTGAACTCGTTTGGCATCCATTATTACGATCATATAACTATACGACACAGGGATACCAAGACATATCTACACAGCCATCCAGATCGCTACCCGTTACGTTATGACGACGGGCGTGTCTCCAGCCAGGGTCAGCAAGTTACTGGCTACCCTTACAACGACACCAACAACCACTGGGAGATACTTCCGGCCACTCCATTCGATGATAACGATCGCCTTGGGCACGTTGTTAAAAATGGTGACATTATCCAACTTCACCATGTGGGGACAGATACTATTCTGCTAACGCACGACGTGGCCTCCCCGTATTATCCCACAAACCAGGAGTTCACCACCGTTTCCCATGAGCTGGCAAATGGCGAGCGCCACAACGATACCCTCTTTGAGATCAAGATCGAGAAAGGAGGATCAGAGCAAGAGTTCAATACCTTGTCTAGTCATTTCAAGCTTATCCATGTGCCCACTAAGGTTGCCATGTGGACCCATACCAAGCCCTTACCTGAGTGGGGATTTAAGCAAGCTGAAATCAACGGGAATAAAAATGCGCAACAGTCCAGTAACATCTGGTTTGCGGAGGATATCCCGTCTCTAGACCCGGACAGTGAGCGGCTGAAAAAAGAGCCCCGCCCGATCAAACAACTTCCTTTCCTTGTCAAGTACTTAGAACTACAACGGGCAATGTTCGTTCACAACAATGCCCTAACCAGCAGCCATCCGTACGCCAGTGAACCATTCGAATGGCCCTTCCTCCTTCGTGGAGTAAGTTTCTGGACTAAGAATTCCGAGCGAGAGCAGATCTATTTCCTCGGAAACCCGATCGGCTGGTGGCTTTCAAGCGGTCTCCTCGCCGTTTTTGCCGGCATTGTCGGTGCCGATCAGCTCTCCATGCGTAGAGGGATTGACGCCCTGGAAGAAAGTAAGATATATATTAGACACCACCTCACACCCAACCAACCACTACCACAATTTTCTCTTTTTGCTAACCACGATTTTTTTTAAAAAATTTGATTTCAGTCTGGGGTCCCGGCACCCGCGCGCGCCTCTACAGGAGCACTGGTTTCTTCTTCCTCTGTTGGGCCGCCCACTTCCTGCCTTTCTTCCTCATGGGCCGCCAGCGTTTCCTCCACCATTACTTACCAGCCCACATCGCCTCCACCCTCGTCGCTGGCGCCGTAATCGAATTCGTTTTTAACATCGATCCAATAGTCCCGAATGACAACAACGGCGATCTGACAGCGGCTGAAACTGCCGTCACGGATCGAAAGTACCGGATCCCCAAGGGACGGTTGGGTCAGCAGAGTCTGCTGGCTCTGTGGGCAGCTGTCGGCGTGATTTTGAGCGCGACGATGTATGGGTTCTATTTCTTTGCGCCACTTACATATGGTCGGCCTGGGTTAGATGTTGCGGGCGTGCTGGCGAGGCGGTGGTTGTCGTACGAGTTGCACTTTGCGAAATAAAAAGGTGGAAAAATACTTGTGTCTGTATTTTCCAAGCCACGCAAGGTGGCTCGCTGGAAGCAAATATAATATCTGGGCCTTGGGTTTATTGGTGGGATCCCAGATTTCCTTTCCTTTCTTCTTCGCACTTTTGCGTTATATGTCGTGCAAGTTTGTCGAGCGCCTGATATGGCTGAAGGTTCAATGGCGGATGTTGTATGCGGTGAAATTTCTTGTTTATTTTTTTAGTTTAATAAAAAACATGTACGATCATAAGCGGAACGGCTTTTTCCTGATTTCCTCCTGCTTTTTGCCTTTTCTAGTTCTGTATCATTTTCGTGATTCCTCACAGCTCGGTTTCCTTCATGAAACTGTTCTACCTCTTATTTTTCGTTTTTATAAGATCTAGGACCCTTGAGCAGGAAGAGAACCATTCAAGCACATATTATATCAAGAACAGTTAAATGGCGATTTCATGGCTGTCGAAGTTGTTGTGTTAGTGGCAGCTGAGAAATGTATGTTGAGGAGGACTTGACTTTACCATATTAGTAAGCTCTTCGGCGAAAGTGCCGCTGCCAAGCCTATGACGACATGGGTTAGAAGCTACTGACAAATGGAAAAAAGTACCATTCTCCAACGATTGGCTTAGCAGGAAGCAACAAAGTATATTACGGTACATTCTCTGGGAAACTGCGGTCGGGAAAGACTCTTCTGGCAACATTTTAGAAGATCGCAGAAACTTTGTGTCAAAAAGCTATATAACCACCAGGGCGGGCCCATGAAGGTCCTTTGCTTCAATTTCTAACTTTCCTCACAGGCAGGTGTCCTTATTTTATTCGTTCGAAGAATATTAAAAGTCTAGCTTTCCATTCAGGTTAATTTTCATTTCCTCCCTTTTTGAAACGGAACGCTACTTCCACGTCGAAAACCACTCCAGAGAACATATCGTTTAGCCCTCCCTATCGTCCTCCCACCGCTAACAGACATGTCCATACCTCGCACTATCCGCCAAGTTTTCATTGCCACTGAGCAAGCAGAGGGTGCAGGTGCCCGCGTCCGCAGATCAATCGGTACCCATAAACTGCGGAATTTCAGCCCATTCCTGCTACTCGACCACTTTACAATCGGCAGCGGCGCCGGATTCCCAGACCATCCACATCGAGGGCAGGAGACTATCACCTACCTTCTGTCCGGAGGCGTAGATCATGAAGACTTTGCCGGACACAAGGGCACAATCGGTCCCGGCGATCTCCAGTTCATGACTGCCGGCAGGGGTATAATGCACGCGGAAATGCCCCATGAGAATCCGGACGGGAGTCCGAACGTTGGCATGCAGCTGTGGGTTGATTTACCCGAGAAGTTGAAGATGTGTGAACCTCGATACCGTGATCTGCGTGCGACAGAGATTCCGGTGGTGAATGTCGATGAGGGTAAGGTTTCCGTTAAGGTGATATCTGGGCAATCGCACGGTGTCGATTCCGTGCGTGACTTGGCCTACACCCCCGTCTGGATATTCGACATCACGATACGCCCGGGAGGGAAGATTTCGCAAATGCTCCCGCAGGGGTGGAATTCATTTGCATACACGCTGAGCGGCACTACGAGCTTTGGCGCAGCTGGCGAATCGAACCTCACTCCGACATCTTCCCTAGCAAATCCTTCACCTGCTAAAGCTGTGGGCTCCTTCTATAACATCGTATTCAACCAGGCTGGTGATTTTGTGCAGGCTTCGAATGCAGAGGATTCGAAAGAGGACTCGCGGTTTATGCTTGTTGCTGGCCAACCTCTCGATCAGAAAGTTGTGCAGTATGGTCCGTTTGTGCTGAATAGCAATGAGCAGGTGCAGCAGGCCATGATAGATTATCAGACCAATTCCAATGGTTTTGAAAGGGCGAAGGGATGGCGGAGTGAAATTGGAAAAAGAATGGGGTAGGCGTGTTAGTCTTGATTTTTATTGATCACCTCTGGTATGAGTACAAAAGAAGCTTGTTTGTGCTGGAATTTGTATATTTAGCGATACCTCCATCAATATTTCATTGAGTTTGAATTAAATCTCCGAATAAATTTATTTAAAATATTCCCTTTTTCCCTCATGTGAGAAATAATATGGAACAATGTTCGAATAAATACATCCACGTGCAGAATGCCAAGAATTTCGGCGTCGTTTCAGAGATGACACGAAAGCTTCTATCTAACTTTGGGCCACTAATCTCGACTAACTGCAACATTTGACACTCCAACCTGCCCACAAATCTACCACACTCAGTTTCGGCCCATGCCAGACATATTCGACTGTGCTCAGCAGTGGATTGACCTTGCCAAGGAAATCAGTCGGCTATACCATGTTCATGGGCCACTGTAAACAACAGCTAACATCCGAAGCTAGCAACTTCCGTAGGTCGTGAACTCAAGGGATGACCCCGATATACTGCTACTCTAGTGACTGGCTGTCGTTTCGAGATAGTACTGATATCT